GACCAATCACCGCAGATTAGCGTCACGCAAAGGAGGGGTTTGGAAAAATGAATCGTTAAGCGAATCGTTTGGGAGTCGTTGAGCAAGTAAGGTAAAAATAAATGCATATTATAAAACAATGAAAGTGTTTTTTGACCTTGCATGCATTACAGCCTGTTGTTGGGGACTCCCAAAACCAAAATATGAACCCTTCATTACCCATAATAGGGGCACTTTAATAAAATGAAGCATCTTGTGAAGACGTCCTACTATAAAATGAAAAAAAATAAAATGATAATTACTGCAATGTGAAAAAAATGTTATAAAACAATGAAAGTGTTTTTTGACCTTGCATGCATTACAGCCTGTTGTTGGGGACTCCCAAAACCAAAATATGAACCCTTCATTACCCATAATAGGGGCACTTTAATAAAATGAAGCATCTTGTGAAGAACGTCCTACTATAAAATGAAAAAAAATAAAATGATAATTACTGCAATGTGAAAAAAATTTGCTGTTTCAAGTACATATCTCTTTCCTGACCTCTCCCTTTTTCATTTGCCTTAAAGTGTCCAGTCTGAGGAGTACCGGGATGTTCATAGACAGGTGACTGCAGTAGTGGAGCAGCATCAGAAGGATTTGATCCCTGGAATGCCGCAGCTCAACATGTGTGACCTGGCTGTCATGGTGAGATGATTATTGCTTGATTGAGATTATTGCTTGACTGTCACTGGAGAGAGTGTGACACATTTGCTTAGGTTTCAACCTTTAACAGATTTAACCTTAATTTTTCCATTGGTCATCATCATATGAAATGAACATCTTTTGATTTCTTAAATCAAATAAAATGGTGCAATAGACCCAAACCAGCCTTTTTTATGTTTGGGTTTTGTTCTAATTTTGTTCTCATCAAATCATACATTTCTGCACACAAAATAATATTCTACCACATATTTACACAGTTTTCATTACTTTTAATTTTTAATTAATGCTTAATTTAATTGTTTTTAGTAGTGTATAATGAGTATAAATTAGTATATACAAAAAAAAAACTGAATTGAAAAATGTTTGATTTTTTTTTTTTTCAATTATTTTATTTATTTAGTTGTTTAGTGTTTTGTTTATTAGCAGCCTTTGTGATTTTTCTGTCACTGCAAAATTGTCTTTATTTTGTGCCATTAATGCGCTGGAAGATTGTTTGGGGTCACAGTAGACAGCTCGTGGTGCAACAGCGCCCTCACGTGTTCATGTGTGTTTCTCATTCTCCTCAGAACTGGAGTCCTCCTGGCTGTGAGCAGTTGGGCAAATGTCTTAAACCCCCAGAGTCAAATCCATGGAAGTGTGTCTGGCCACATTAATTTAGTTTTCCGTAAGAACATTTATTAAGACATCTCTCACAATCAGATTAAATTTGAAGGATCTTTTAAAATTATATTGTATTATTTTCTGTATTGTTACTTTTAGCATTTTAAGTGTTTATATGTATTGTTGTACACAGAAAAGGGGGGGAAAAAATCGGATTTTGATATTGAGAAGCAGTGATTTAGTGTAGTTCTCATTTTAAAATATTCTGTCTGAGTTTTTTGTTAAAAAAACAGCCTGGTACTCACTGTACCTCAGTTACTGACTGACAGACAGTAACAAAATTACCAAAAACACACCATAATCATGCATATTTATGTTAGCTGAAACATAAATTAGACTATACATGGTTGTGAATTTGTTCATCAAGTTAAACAATTAATTATACTGTTTAATTTTATTTTGACTTGCGTCCATTTAAATCAATATAAACTCTTACATGATTTTTTTTTCTCAAGGGGCAATAAAATATTTTTAAAACCCTTGTGTGACTGTGCATTTGACAGAAAATATTTCCATATATTTTTTTTTAAAGCAAAGTAATTGCTTGGTCGCCTGTGTAGCATAGATCTGTTTGTTTTCTCCACTGCAGCTGCTAGATCTACAGAATCCACTAGGATTTTGTCATTTGGTTGCATGTCAGTTTTCCCCTCCTCCTTTATTACAGATGGAACGATCCTTTGTCTATATATATGTATCAATAATTATATTTATAAGTGTGTGGGAATAATAATAATAATACAATTTTTTTAAATGTATACAATGGCATTATGACATCAACATAATCTTTTACCACGTCTAATTTATTAGCGACATTTCCTTTTCAAAGTAAAGTAAAATACAAAACAAATATGCTGATTAAAAGCAGCTATGTTTTGATGACGTAAATGTCAGGTGGTGAGGAAGCGTGTGCTATTGGTTGGTCTGAGCACGTGGACAACTTCCCGTCTCAGTCCAAAATATTCACAGCGCGTGTGGTCATGGCAGAGAAAGTGGATCTTATCGCTAAGTGCATTAGAACGTTCCCTGATTTCCCTACAAAGGGGATTCCATTCAAGTGAGTATTCATATACAACATCATTTTAATCTGAGCGGGCCGTGCGGAATAAGGCAGAGTGGGAAAGAGATATGTACGGGTTGCCGTTTCTGTTTGTTTGCAGGGATATTTGTCCGATCCTGAAGGATCCGAAGGCGCTGGCTGCAGTGACAGATCTGTTTGAGGAGCACGTGAGGCGCACGTATCCTCAGGTGGATCTTATAGTCGGTAAGAGAGTGCATATGCGTGTGGTGTGGCACGCTACAAGGTTCAAAGTGGCAAAACTCCTGATAACCCTTGTGGGAGGAAACAATGATTTTTATTGGATCCGATCCTGATGGAATCAAATGAAGATGCCAAATAATGTTCTTTTTAGCAGCATCATATGACCCCTTTAAATAAAATGGGATTCTTACAGGATTTTATGTGATTGTTAGAATTCTATTGGATATAGTGTGATATTGTGTAATGCATATTGTTCATTTGGAATTACAGAACCGTTATCCACCTTTTTCCTACGCCCCATGACGCTTTGCGCAAATTATAGGAGTAAAAGGTTCAAAGATAAGCATTTATAAACAATAATAAGCATTTTCAGAAACTGGGTACAATGAGGTGACATTATTTCAACCATCGATCATTAAAAGTAAATTCGAAAGTGTAAAAGCATTACAAATGTCTTGCCATTTAATAACTCCTAAAGATCCTCCTTCTATCAGCTGCAATATTACGGGCGTGTTAAATATTATAGTATGTCTATATTTCATAGCAAATATATTTTACAGCATCCGTGTGAAAACAAACTTGGAAAGAGACATGAGGATGTGGGCAGAAAAATGAAAGCGATTTATTTTCTCCCCAAATAGTCATGATGATTTACATCCTCTTAGTGCATTCCAGGGAATTATTCATGGTTTATATCGTAAATCAAATCGGGAGAGCAGACCAAAAATGCACAGTATATATGTTGTCTTTTTTCATTTACTTACAGCCGAATACAAAGGAAACATGAAAATAATCAGGAGGAAAATAATGCAGCAGGCTAAAAAGAGCTATTCTATAGATATTGTTGTTATATCAACTGTCATTTGCACTTATATATTGTTGCTCTTTTGTTAGTTTTGACTGCTTTTATTTGTCCTTATTAGTAAGTTGCTTTGGATAAACGCGTCTGCTAAATGACTAAATGTAAATGTATATCACGTCACATTAATATACCAAACGTAACGTTATTCTCCTGGCTTCTGAAAATCGAGAATTAATGAAAATGTACAGCCCATTCAGTCAAAATGACAAATAAGCAGTGTTGAGGGTAAATCATTACAAGTTATGCGAGTTACGTAATCAGATTACTTTTTTCAAGTAACTAAATCAAGCCCTGCTTATATTTAAAAAGTAACGCGAAAGTAACGCAAAAGTAATATAACGCATTACTTTCCATAAAAAGTAACTAAGTAACGTAATTAGTTACTTTTTTAGGGAGTAACGCAATATTGTAATGCATTACTTTTAAAAGTAACTTTCCCTAACACTGCAGATAAGGATTATTTGTAGCGCAATCTTATGATTTGAAATTATTCGTTGCAGTCTCCCCAAACCGGAAGTGTCTCCCATAATTTCATAGCATGTCAACATATTCTGTTACACCAAATACACAAAATAATGATCTTTAAAATGGCATCAATTTATATAAATCCCTTTAAATAAAATAAAATAAAAGCCTATTGCTTATATATGTAATCGAAGTCTCCTAGGAATGTGGAATTACACGCACAGATTAGTTAGTTGTCAGGTTGCTAAGATTACAAGGAAAATGTGTAGTCCCAGCGCCGATCCTCCCTATACGCAAAGTATGCAAGCTGCGTAGGGCTCTCGAAACACCAGGGGGCCCCCTTGCTCTCAAAGATGATTTAATTTTAGTTTCGTTTTTGAACACAGTCCCCGGACACAGTTTTGCATAGGGCCCCCAGAAGTCTAGGATTGACTCTGTGTAGACCAGACAGCATTTGACCACTGGATTTACGGAAATATTTTACTTTTAAGGAGTGGTTTCTCAACATTGCATGCCTCATCAACTCCTGACAAACACATTTGAATGATCATAGAGTGAGTCATTTAATCATGTGTTACTATGTCTGGCTTTTGTCTTTCAAACACATAAAAATGCACAAACTCGTGTATTTTATATTTGCATGGAATGCAGTAGATGTAATATTTACTTGTGATTTTAAGGTAATTATTAGGACAAGAAGTTAACAAAACATTTGCATATTCACTGTTCTCTGATGTTGGTTAATGGTCACATGATTTGCAGATAAACAAATAAGTTTTTTATTTTCATTTTACATTTTTATAAGTTAATTATTAGCTTCTCATCAATTTACCAACCCTCTGCAGTTACATGGAAAAACCCATTTGGCAAACATGTTTAATGCACTTCATGTTGTTGATAGAGAATGGAATATGTTTATTATTTTTATTTTCTTCCCAATATCAAAATGGTACAAGACTATCCCATTCAAATCAAGGGGATAAATGAGTTAGGTCAAAAGTAATCTGTAAGTACTAACTGCAGTTTTCATTTATTTTGCAATCAGTAACAGACTGAATTTGTAACCAATCTACCCATAGCTGTGTATATACTATATATACACATAAAACTAACTCATTCAATTCAAATGTCAAAACTTTTGAATGAAAGTATATTTTTACACCAAGGTGGGCAGTTGTTGATTCATAATGTCTAGAGTGCAGCTTAATGTACCAACAGCAACAATCCAAGTTCTTTTTTTCTCGTTAGGAACCCTGTATGCGGCGTGTGAGCTGATCAAACAGCAGAAGGCGGAGGTGCTGGGCTGTTTGGTGGTGGTTGAACTGAAGTATCTCAGTGGATCAGAGAAGCTGCAATCAACTCCTGTGTTCTCTCTAATACAGTACTGACAGTGGTACTGCTTATGTGGCGGAGTCTGTTTTATCTTAGCCATCTGAAATGAAGTAATTATTCACATCGTGGTTTACAGTTCAGGAATATGAAGAACTTCCAGTCATGTTTTGATAGTCTTAATTCATCTTTGACAAATAACCAGAAACTGAAAAAGAGATAGTAAGCGGTTTCTTATGCAGCCTATGTAGGGGCAATCAGTAATCATGTTTTATATAGTGTGAGTGTAATTTCACCATACTACACTCACCATGTTGTCTTTATCGTCATCTTCAGTAATGCCGTTTTATAAACACTCTCCCTTGGCTTCATGGGATAGCAAAATGTTTGTTGTATGCACACTTCTGGGTGCTTTTCATTAATTGTCTTATGAATACTCCAGACATGCCACTCTTCTTGCATACTGTTTTTCACCTATTATACAAAAGCAAATGTATGTGATTTCAGACAGAGCTTGTGTACAAACTCTTAAGCTTCCAGTTTGCGAATATGAAACGCTGTTGCTTGCATGAACTTGTTTATTGTAAATGAATCGATGCACATTAACTAGATGAACCTTAAGGTTTAAGTTACCAAAGAAGCCAAACTTAGAACTACATTGAACTGCCTTTATACAAAATACCTTTTACATGTCTACATAATGAACAATTATTGTGCTAAGATGCAAAGAGCAAAAATCACAACAGAAACACAGCAGTTTAAAACACCGTGACCGCCAGACTGCAAAACTGACTGAACAAATTAAAAAGTAATCATGTCATCTCAATGTTAAAATCCAGGCATAATCCATAATAAAATATTGCACATGGTATTCTCTCAACGGTCTCGTTTCAATTTCTTCAAATACGCTCTTCTTCCTTCATCTTTTGGTTCAGTTTGTCCAGCACAGTGTTCAGATCCACGGTCTTATTCAGCTTCAGGTACACATCCTTTCTGACTGGATGTATGGTTAGCCATGCAGGTGTCAACTCAGCCAACAGGCGAAGATGTTTCTCCATTTCATCTAAATTAGAAGAATTAAAAAAAAATTTAAAAAGAAAAAAAAAAATCCCATATTTATAAGCACCGAGGGGATAAATGAGTTAGGTCAAAAGTAATCTGTAAGTACTAACTGCAGTTTTCATTTATTTTGCAATCAGTAACAGACTGAATTTGTAACCAATCTACCCATAGCTGTGTATATACTATATATACACATAAAACTAACTCATTCAATTCAAATGTCAAAACTTTTGAATGAAAGTATATTTTTACACCAAGGTGGGCAGTTGTTGATTCATAATGTCTAGAGTGCAGCTTAATGTACCAACAGCAACAATCCAAGTTCTTTTTTTCTCGTTAGGAACCCTGTATGCGGCGTGTGAGCTGATCAAACAGCAGAAGGCGGAGGTGCTGGGCTGTTTGGTGGTGGTTGAACTGAAGTATCTCAGTGGATCAGAGAAGCTGCAATCAACTCCTGTGTTCTCTCTAATACAGTACTGACACTGGTACTGCTTATGTGGCGGAGTCTGTTTTATCTTAGCCATCTGAAATGAAGTAATTATTCACATCGTGGTTTACAGTTCAGGAATATGAAGAACTTCCAGTCATGTTTTGATAGTCTTAATTCATCTTTGACAAATAACCAGAAACTGAAAAAGAGATAGTAAGCGGTTTCTTATGCAGCCTATGTAGGGGCAATCAGTAATCATGTTTTATATAGTGTGAGTGTAATTTCACCATACTACACTCACCATGTTGTCTTTATCGTCATCTTCAGTAATGCCGTTTTATAAACACTCTCCCTTGGCTTCATGGGATAGCAAAATGTTTGTTGTATGCACACTTCTGGGTGCTTTTCATTAATTGTCTTATGAATACTCCAGACATGCCACTCTTCTTGCATACTGTTTTTCACCTATTATACAAAAGCAAATGTATGTGATTTCAGACAGAGCTTGTGTACAAACTCTTAAGCTTCCAGTTTGCGAATATGAAACGCTGTTGCTTGCATGAACTTGTTTATTGTAAATGAATCGATGCACATTAACTAGATGAACCTTAAGGTTTAAGTTACCAAAGAAGCCAAACTTAGAACTACATTGAACTGCCTTTATACAAAATACCTTTTACATGTCTACATAATGAACAATTATTGTGCTAAGATGCAAAGAGCAAAAATCACAACAGAAACACAGCAGTTTAAAACACCGTGACCGCCAGACTGCAAAACTGACTGAACAAATTAAAAAGTAATCATGTCATCTCAATGTTAAAATCCAGGCATAATCCATAATAAAATATTGCACATGGTATTCTCTCAACGGTCTCGTTTCAATTTCTTCAAATACGCTCTTCTTCCTTCATCTTTTGGTTCAGTTTGTCCAGCACAGTGTTCAGATCCACGGTCTTATTCAGCTTCAGGTACACATCCTTTCTGACTGGATGTACGGTTAGCCATGCAGGTGTCAACTCAGCCAACAGGCGAAGATGTTTCTCCATTTCATCTAAATTAGAAGAATTTAAAAAAATTTAAAAAAGAAAAAAAAAAAATCCCATATTTATAAGCACCGACTGTTCTAAAACTGGTTTAATAAATAGCAAAAACAAATAAAACGGTAACAAATGTTCTGAATATTTGTGCACTTTAAATTTCACAATTAGCTCAGCATCATGCTATCATCAAACTTAAAGGAATACTCCCCCCTCAGGCTAAGATGTAGATGAATTGGTTTCTTCATTAGAACACATTTAGAGAAATTTTGCATTACATGCCTTGCTCGCCAAAGGATCCAGTAAATGGGTGCAGGCAGCTTTTCAAAAGATGTTCATTGATTACTTGTGGATTATTGTGATGTTTTTAATCAGTCGTTTGAACTCATTCTGCCGGCACCCATTCACTGCAAACAGGGCCATCCTTAGTGGGGTGCAACTGGTGCGGTCGCACTGGGCCCCGTGGCGAACGGACCGGTGAGCAAGTGATGTAACGCTAATATTCAGATGAAGAAAAACCTGTTCCTTTTAAAGAGGATTGTGTGTGGTGTGAAGATGCTTTCAAATAAAGTCATGAAGTACTCTTAAAAGACAGCTCACTAGGTTTTGGAACAGCAATAGTGTCAGGAAAACCTGAGGTGGGAAACCCAACAGAAACATCTGTACTAACCAGAACTGAGAGGAGATCTGTAGCTAGCGATCATGCGGTTGCAGGCGAGCTCCATGATGAGGGCTGGCTTTTTCTCTGCTACAAATACATTTCGCAAGATCCTGGCCAACTCTGGCAGCCGTGACATCATCGACAGGCGCTCTTCCTGCAGTGGGTTCCGTGTCATGGCAGCGTGCAGTTTCTGAGCCTCTTTGGCACGAATCTGAATCACGGAGAAAATATTGGTTAGATTCTTGTAAACGCACTTAAAAAAAAAAGAAAAAAAAAAGTTTTAACTCACCCTCTCCAGCAGTGATTGAGAAACTCCTTTAAGGGCACTGGGGGTTTCTGTTGGTGTGGCAATAGATTTAGCGGAGGTCTCTGGCTCCTTAGCACATGCTGTTTCTGCTGTTTTCAAGGCCATGTTGGCCAAGGCTTTCTCCATCTAGAAAGATGACAACCCACAACAAAAAAAACAAGTCAATTATGCAATGCACATGTTTGTTTCAGATCAACTTTTTTGAATAAAATGACATTTATACAGACTTGAACACATGACTTTAAATATGTTTTGTGGCATAAATGCCCTGAACTAATTTAGTTTAGTTCTTTGCATAATTTTTTGCAAAAAATAAAAAAAGTTTTTAAATATTGTGGATTGATTTCATTTTTAAAACCTAATTTGTGGATCTGAAAGAGATTTAAAAAAAAAAAAAAAAGCATGCTGAAAGACTAGATTTAAAACAGATCTCATCTTAGACATGCTTGTTACTGACCCCTATTCAAAAGGGAACCAGTAATGCCCTAAAGAGCACAAAGACAATGTTTAAATGCTCACCTTTGGTGTCATGAAAGCACGAGCTTTGTCCAACACTTCCTGTGCTGAGGTCAGTTTCTCAGTTTGGGGAGGTTGAGGCAAATCACTTGGTTTGATGTTGGGAACCTCATCCACATTGAATCTCGGATGCCAGCGGGTCAGTTTGTCATCAGGAACGACAATGGGAGGGTTTAGGGAAGCCAGGTACACCTGTATCCAATGCAAGACAAAACATGATTAGAATACACAAAAATCAGAATGTCTAAAACACTAAAATGCAAGCAAAACTATTTTATGAGCCATATCCTGTACGTACCTTGTGGTGTCCCTTCACGATTTCAACCAGATTTTGGTGAAATATGTGCCTTCTTTCCAAAAGACGAGAGGCCGACAACACTGGACGAGTACCGTTAAATTCTGGAGACCGAAACATATTTTATGAAATGTATTTTATATTTTATGAACTTGATGATTGAATGAAAAAATATATCAATATTGTACTGTAAAATGGTTGGTACATATTATGCTCCTAAATTTACTTTAGAAGAAACTCAAATTTAAAGTGAATGCAAAGTCTAATGCAATAAAGTCACTTATTACTCAGTGTTACCATTTCTGAGCAAACTCTCAAAGTTCTCACCTTCTTGAATGACCGGCTCCACTGTAAGCTGATAGCTGGACCTTTTTGCAGTAGCACTGAAAGAGGGAATGTTTCTCTCCTGACGAAAAGTATAGGCAGAAGGGTACACAGCCTTTATCTGCCCCAGATGGCTCTCTTCAAAACGCCTGTGAAGGCAAAATATGGTTACCTTTGATAAGACTGACCACACCGTTAACCAGCAGCCTGACTGGCACAAACATTTTAGCATATGGTTTCATTCAGCCTCTTACTTGCGCATCATATCTTGGACCCCTTGCTTGATTTTGGCAAAAGTGACCGTCTCGGAGCGGTTGAACAGCATCCCGACTATGGTGTCCGTACTGCGGAACATCTCAGCGAGAACTTTGTATTGGTAGGGCAGGGTAAGACCAGGCGGCACATCCTGAGCTAAAGTGTGGTAACGCTGATAAGCTGGGAGCTTCTGTCTGAAACGAAAACTAAAAATTCAACTATAGAAGACTAACGACACAAAGCATGTCCAGGGTATCTGCAGTGTTTTTTTTAAATCAAATGTAGGACTTTGAGACCTGCACCAAATATCCATACGAGGGTAAACTACATGTCTAAAATACTCAAGACATGTTTTATTCAGTATGTACTATGATCATAACAACAACAACGTTTGTCAGGCATCTACATTGTCATATAAGGAGATTACAAAGATTAAACGAGTGTTTTTTTTCATTCTAAAACATGAAATGTGGAGTTATCTGCTTTGCCCAAAAAAAGGACTGTTGGAGTTATCTGCATTTGCTATAAAACAAACTTTTAATATGTATTAAAAAAAACAACAACAACATACTTTCAATTAACTTTAATTTTGTAAATTACCTGTATTTGTTTAAGTTATTATTACTTAATCAAAACAACCCAACTGCAGTTTGATTGATATTACTTGGAATGCGCAATAAAAAAAACGTGATTTCTGAAATTTTTAAATGGAGTTATTGGTTTTTGCAAACGAACTCTTCATATGCATCAACATTGATTTGTATACCAGTATAGCAATACAAATTAGAAGCGGATCAACATTATCCTGTCAGCAAAATCTAATAATGTGTTTAAGAAAAGGCAATGAACAGATTATAGTGCCAATACCTGTAAAGACTACTAACAGGGAGGCCCAGAAAGAAGCATTGAATTCAATGCAAGAATCTTTTTTTTTTGTATTACCAATGTATCAATAATGTTTTGTATCCCGATTACGTAACGCCTTTACATGCATTCCGTTACTCCCCAACCCTGCTGACGATATGACAATTGAGCATATCTTCCAACACTAGTACGTACAACCACATGAGATGAGAAGCCCAATTTAAGTCACTTTTGGTAACAGAAAACATTGACACATTGGCCAGCAAACCTCACCTTTCCTCTGCTTCAGGCTCAGCCTGTGCCTCAGTAGCTTTAGCATCCTCTGCAACTCGCTCAGCCTTTTTTTGCTGAACTTTGGCTGAGATCTCCCGGGCCGCATCGAGCCTCGCTTTCAGCTCCGCTAGTGCCGACACGGGGGCAGGTGAGGGATTCGTCGCGGTGTCAGACTGCCCTTTCAGTTTTTGCAGCTTGGACTTCAATGCTGCCACATCCTCTCTTGTAAACGTTTTCTGAAAGAACAAAAGAAACTTGATAAATGTCAAGCTCACAAACACCAGGAGGTTCCTGCACAGGTGTGACGACCCCCATGAGTTACCTTGCTCCTGGTTGTCCGCTTGGGCTTATGGTCTCCATTCGTTTTGTTTACAGGAGAGCTATTAGCATTGTGATCAACAGTCTTTTTAGACTCTTTGCTGGCAGTTTGTTGAGGTGCCTGAGAGGTGCTGTTGGCCAAGGGCTCAATACTCTACATTAAAATAAAACGGACTGGGTTAGCAGTCATTAAACAAAACCAAGCACACAATGCATTCACAAGACAGTGACCGGTTGCATTAACTTTTACAACTAGTCCAAGCGGTTTATCATCTGCAAGATTGGTAATAACCAAGTCAGTTAAAAACATAGATGGGTGTAATTTGTCCAAATAGTAAGACTGGATAACTGCTAGTTAGTCAAACTAGTTCTTAAGACACGCAAAGTTAGTCTTCTTCACATACACATTCAACACTTTAAGGACACGAAAAAGATCTTTAAGAAAGTGAAAAAAGTCCTAAAGAATCACAGACTGGATAACTGCTAGTTAGTCAAACTAGTTCTTAAGACACGCAAAGTTAGTCTTCTTCACATACACATTCAACACTTTAAGGACACGAAAAAGAAAGAACAAGATCTTTAAGAAATAGTGAAAAAAGTCCTAAAGAATCATTCTCAAATCTTTAAATAAGTTACAATCTAATATTCTACTGAATAATCTTGACAGGTGGTAAGAGAACATATGCAAGAAAAATATGGTTTAAACCAAGAAAATTGTGATATAAATTACTTTAGTATTCCTTTTGGGTTTTTTGACCAAGGATGAGAGATGTGGAATAGAGAAATATGGAATAATCCAGAGGGAAAATGTGATATTAAGTACTAAAGCATTTTTCTAAAGCCATGGTGTCAATAGTACTAGATTAGGGTCTTAAAAAAAATAAATACGTACATATGCGTCCTATGGACGTCTCTGCGTTTGCGTTTAAAGACAGCTCGTGAAATACATTTGTTAAACAATGTTAAAATAGAGCGTCCCGCGTGAATTCATTATCTTGCTATACGTACCTGTTCTTTGTGGTCATTTGTGAGAAGATCGAGCTTCTTCCTCGCAGTCTTCTGAACCGTGCGCTCCTCTGGTGAAGCTCTGCAGTGCTGGCTCGCATTGACCCTCATTCGCTTCTTGGCGCTGCTGTGCTGCTCGGTTGTGGACGGGAACAGCACCGAACCCACATCAAACTCCGCCAGCCGTTTAGGAGTTCTGGGACTCGCCGTTAAGCTCTCGTTACTCACATCTCGCAAGTCAGTCGCGGTTTCCGTTTGTGCCGATAAAGCCTCATCGATGATTTTGAGGAACTCCTGTTGAACATGTTTTTGAGGCTCTGGTGTGCTGGGACCGCGCGTCGTTTTCCGTGAAGAGCGTGTAGATCTGGACGGTGTCTTTGGTTTAGCGGTCACCGCTGATTCCACAGCGTCTCCTGAAACTTTTTGTCCCTTGGACCGTAAAGACCGAACGACGCCACCCTTCTTACTCTGTGCAAAATAATCGGTAACCCGAGCTTGAGCCATTTTTCGGTTTGAATAAGGTCCCTGCACTTCTCGCTGGCGTGCAGTAATTGTTGTTATCCCACCGGAACTTCCCTCTCAGGGTCTTCCTCCTAGACTAACTTTCGCGCGAAATCGGACCACGTGACTTATGTAGGCAGAACGTGGCTTTTAACCACGCCCCTCACCCACTGATCAAACACTAGATTAACATAAGGCTGGCAGTAAAAATTATAATGTTGGGTGTTATATTCACATTTAATTATAAAATACTTATGAATTTATTTATTTCATTGGTTTTGGCTTTTATTTTTATATAACACTTTGTTTTCATCTATATTTTAGCACGTTTAGTCTTCATTTATGTGGTCGGGTCGTGAAATGAATGGGAATGTTCCTTCTATTGTATTGTAAATTTACAGTTTTCAAGATAAATCAATCATCTTAGAGGTCAAAGCTCAAAAAGTGTGACTGACACGACAGTTGAATCAGTTGTTCACAGCTGCTATAAAATCAAATAAGTTGCTTATTTATGCAATGCTTGTTAAAACATTAAAATTACTCTAACATTAAAAAATACAAACCCATTAAAAACCTTAAACTGTTAATGCACATATTCATCTGTACTCGCTGTTTACTTTCAGCTGGAAAATCTTTATCCACTCAACTTCAGAAGAGATTAAATGGGGTGCTTTAACCCTGTAAAGCCTGACATGAAATAAAACAATAATGTACAGTATGTGGAAAATAATGTGTTTTTTGAACTTTAAACTGCATAAACACATTTCATTACACCAAATACACAAAATAATGTTCTTTTTAGCAGCATCATATGACCCCTTTAAGAAAAAAGAAAGCGTTTAAAAATGGAACCGTTTATTTACCATTTAGATAAATATATATTTTGTTAAATATTTTATATTTTATGAAATTTGGTGCAGACTTCTTACATAAAATAAATGTCAGTTGTCACTCTATATCTATGTCTTAGTAAGATGATATGTAAAAAGCTATTTAATATTACAAAAATAAATAAGTAAATAAAAACGTATGTTCATACAGAACAAACTCATACAAGGGTAAATGCAAGCTTAAAACACATGATGCTTTATTAAAAGATTTTTTTTTTTTTCAGTAAATACATATGTATTGAAATAGGTTTATGTATAGCCTATTACATTAATGCATACGGTTTAGAAGTTGATCAGTACTGTTTTTTGCTGACGCTATAATAATAAGTTTACGTTTAGTAATAAGTAATACGTTTAAGTAAAGGCAGCTTATAGTGCCAATACTATCTCCCAGTATGTTATTGTAGAAATGCCAAAAGCCTATATACCATAGTAAATTAAAGAAAATATAGTCTATTATTATTATTTTTTTTAAATGTAAAACCAATAAAATATAAAATAAAAATAAATAAAACACATTTACTGTCATATTATACAAAACAAAACTGTTCGTAATTATTGAAAGGTTAGAACATTACTTTAAGTACACTCTTAGATATCAGCATATATTCATTTGGCAGGAACGGTTATCCAAAAGGACATGCATTCACTGTATAGATTTTATTAACAGATTAGAACAGAATAGATTTGATCAGCTCAGGCTATTCCGTGGGAATCAAACCTTGGCGTCGCTGTAGCGCGCTCTGCTGTTAATAATTATTTATCATTTTGAGGAATACTGACTGTGTTTTTTTGTGTGTGAGTGAGATGAATTAATGCATATTCATGTTTATTTTGAACTACAGTAACATCTTCTGATTTATCTCAACATGGGGACAAGGAGAGCTGTCAATCAATAAATCGAAGAAAAAAAAAAGTAACTTGCGTTACTTATTTGAAAAAGTAACTCAGATATTCTCTTGTAAATTAAAAAGTAATGCGTTACTTTACTAGTTACTTGAAAAAAGTAATCTGATTACGTAACTTGCGTTACTTGTAATATATTACCCCCAACACTGGTTGTAAGTAACTAAGGCAGTGGAGGATCAAAAAACAAACCAAAAGAAAACCATAATCCTGTTGATATTTCGCCTATGATACGTTACCCGAAGTCACCACTAGATAGAGCCAACATAAAAGAGATACAGACGATTTCTGTCCGCAATGACACCCACCACGGGTAATTATCATTTACATAATTAGTTTGGGTATCTGAAAGGAGTGCGTTGCGACTGGAGAACATCAGCATATACCCTCAGTTTCGCTGCACTGAACTGACACTCAGAATAAAAGTGTAAAAGAAGTATCCCCATTTAAGGCACGTGCACGTTACACTAGGCTATGCACATGCTTAGAAACGTAAACAGCAAACTGTATTGTTTTATTCACACAATATGCACACTTGGTGTTGTTTCTATTTAGTTTTTCAGACGTATAAACACAAGCTATAGCATAAAAATAGTTTCTTAAAAATAATTTCAGTAGCCATATCACCGTCTTGTCTATCATTATCAAATTAATGTAATAAAGACGGACCTGCTAAACATGAACCGAAATGTCTGAAATAACACAAAAGGTCTGTATAACTGGTTTCCCTAAACTCTGGAATTTGAAAGGCCATAATTCTGGGGGTGACACATTGTTCAGCTGCTCAGGCAGCGCACTGCACGAGTCATATTTCTCAGTTGAAAGTGACGTTACTCGTTTGGCACAAGTTATCTATCGTCAGAGTGGGAGTTACTTTCAACTAACTGTTGGGACGCAGTGCGGACTACACACACAAACAGAACAAACTCTCTTCATGAGTTTTGTGACATTGTTTGTGGACATATTCTGGTGAAGTCGGAGCAGATTAGTGCCAGAACGGAAGAAAGACTGAAGAAAGTTTAACAAACGCCGAGGCGGTGAATCACATTTTCCATGAAGATGTACAATGAATAATCGACGTTCATAAAGCCGCTTTTTTGAGTTTTGTATCGAAGCAATCAAACGCGACGTCTTAATAATTTTTTCGTTCTTTGGAATATTTAAGAACGCTTTACAGATAATAGTGATATTTTAATAGTCTAATCGATGGTCTACAGTTTTAGTCGTTTAGGCGAAATTTTCATGTATATACATTTGTAAACAAAACCGAGATAGTATATTTTCGCCATGTAGCTGTTTTTCCCCCCACGATTCTGAGATGGTTGTGTTGTGGATTTGTGTCGTGGGAGGAATGTGAGTGGAAGTGTCGCTCATGGAGCTTCAGGTGGTGTGCGGAGTGCTCTACTGCTGCCTGCTGCCCTTCTTTTTACTGGCAGGTAAGACCTCAACATGTAGGCCTATTCGATCCATCCTATACACAAAACAGACCAAAAAGTAGCATATTGTTTTAAATTAAATCCCTAATAACATTTTCTTTCCCCGTTTTCACTTTTTTTTGTTACATTGCCTTAGCAATTTAATAAAAGATGAAAAAGTAGATATCTGTTTTAAAACTCTAATGCCAAGTTCTTCAAAAAGCGTTTCGATGTTTCTTTTTCCATGTTGGTTTCATCCATTTTAAAACGTTTATACCGTTTAATACAAACAACGTGATTCACTGGCTCCAAAAATGTCACGTGGTGTAACCATGAAACTTTTGAACCATTCTATACACATTGAATACAATTTATATATATATATATATATACATAAAACATAAGTTTTAAGTAAAAAAAAAAAAGTTTGGGGCTCATATGTGGTTATAAAAGCTGCACATATTTTATATCAGGTGAAACATATGATAGATAAATCTGCAGGTGTATGTGTGTCATGTCAGCTACATATTTTACCATCCAATCACATTGATTGGATGGTAAAAACACACAATAGTTTCGCTCTTGCACATCAGTTCCGCTGTCACCTCATTCAGGTGTTTGTTTAGCACACACGCCCGAGCCGCTTGCTTCCTCTGGGCCTAAACTTATTTAAGGATGCATCATGCATTCCTGCTGCCTGGATTGCAACTCACATCTGTTTTCTTTCTCAGACCTGTTTTACTGTCTCCTCTCACAGTTCTTTTTCCTGCATAATTTGCTTACATTCTACCGAGCACAAATACTTTCATGCTTGTGGTGTTTAAGGCTCACCTCCCATGAAGAGTCAAATTATGGGTTTTTCACACTTGAAATTGTTAACCCAAGGTCATCGTTCTTACTGGGTTGCTAATTAATCCTGTAATTTCACACGGCACATGTGTAATCCCTGGGTTAACATTCTTATTTTCAGATTTACAATGCTAATAATATTATATGGAGAAGTCTGGCATGTAACCTGATTTACATTTTATGGTGGGGCCAATATACATTGACTGAATTAGCCCATATGAATCTCATATAGCATCTGAGTGGGGCTGTCTTGTACCTGACACTCCAGTAAATTATATATATGCGTGTGTGTGTGTATATATATATATATATATATATATATATATATATATACATGACAACCAATCTGTGAAACCAAGTAAATCCAGTGGTCTCTACGATCTTCTGTCTGGAATACACTACATAGATATTCAAATCTGAATAGATTTAAAAAATCAGACATCATATGATTTGTAAATAAGAAAATGTGTAAACATGCGTTAATTTGCTAGTAGATGCATGACAAATAAAAACAAGTTTTTTAAAATCGACTCAAAATATAAAACATTTTTGAAATCCTTCAACAAGATGGAATTATATTTTGAAACTAAAATATCTGAGTCTGTGCCTATCATACAATTTTTTTGTGAAATTTGTCAACTCTGACTGCTCGAAATCTGCAGACTGGCTCTGACTTTCAGAAACAAGCGTCAGCTCATCCAGACTGCAATTTGGGGCAAATATCTGGGCAAAAGTCGTCTAGTGTATTCCAGCCTTTAGGGAAACGTTGCCCTGATCTATTCCCAATTGAAAAATCAAATCCCATTTGGAAAAGCACCTTAAAGGAAGAAAAATAAGTTGTGAATGTCTTTTTATGACTATTTTACTGACTGTTTCCCTCGTATGCTAAAACTAAATGGCATATGCAAGGATATTTAATTAGGCAAGCATAATTTACTTCAGAATTGGATGTCTTGATAAACAGTTCGCTAAACAACTCTTAACACACTGTTTATGTTTAGTAACATATTTAGTTGTTAGTACTGCAGTTAAATCTGTGCTAAAACTATGAAACCTTGACATAAACATTAGCATAGTGTGAAAAGCCTCTGCCGCCAGGCCAGACAGGTTTCTATATTTAACATTTCTCCCCTGACTGTAAAAAAAAAAATGCAGGAGAATATTATAGGCTGAAATCCTGCCATGTTTCATAAACCGAACATATAAAACTATCTCAGGCAGGTAAAGATTAGCCAGAGGCACAGTCTGTTGACAGGATATTGTTTGAACATGTGGTTTCTTGTGTCATGTGGGACTCATGTGGCACACAGGAAGAATCGCAACGTGCCACGAACGCCTCGGGTTCTCCTCAGACTCACGCATGCGGTCAACCAGATTTGTTGAGCTCTCCACGTGGTCTTCAGTGGCAACTTTTTAACTTTTCGCACCTGCATGTAAACAGTTATCTTTTATTTGAACCCTAATAAGAAGTAGCTAGCATTGATTTTGGCTTATTTCTGTCTTCTGAATGGATCTGTTGTACGTTCTTCTATTTTAAAGTAGGGCAAGCACACAACCTGGGTGTGTTAGCAGCACCACGCTAACCAGTATGCTGTCACAATACAAAGCCTCAGTGCGTCCCTAAGGAAACTGGTATGCCTGAATTTGGCCTGAGGCTGGAAAGTGTGCATCACTGAAAGAATTGAAGAGACCTGAGATGGCTCAGGCCTTCCAGCATGCCTCTCACTTTGGACCTTTTGTACCCGCTCAAGGGATCTGTGCTGTTTTACTGCCAGATCTGAAAGTGAGAAAGACAACAACACAGAAATGCACATCCTTTTTGCGGTTTCAGTCCAGCGTACTTTAGGCCTGGGGAAAATATTAAATACTTCATACTTAAAGTATTTCCGTACATGTCCACTGGCATGGATTGACATCAGAGCAAGGAGAAACTTATCAAAAAGTCATGAATTGCTCAATTTGAAAAAAAACAAAAAAACACTAGCTATTAAGTTTCAAGTTTTCAAGTTTCAAGTTGAGGTACAACTAGTAATGTCAGCGGTATAAAGTCTGCTGATTGTGCTGAATCTGTCAGTCATGGCAACATGTTTTTCTGTTACTGTAACGGATCATAATAATTTTACTAATTTCAGCTTCTAGTTACACAAGGCTTTATAAAAAGGAGTTGATATGACTTGTATAGCAAATTTGACTATACTAATTTAACTTAAGTTTTAAGGTTGAATTAGGAGAATTTGTTTGTTTTTTTCATTATGGGCTTACAAAAAGATTTGACACTGCATGTATCCTTCGGATAAATAAAGCAGGTTTTTATTGTGCATAAATATGATGCCTTTATTCACTGTGCATAGAAAGCAGTTATGGACAGCCACACTGCTGTACATTTTACACCCCCAAATCTGCAGAGCCTATTTGCATTTTGGGCAGTATTGAGTGGGTTCCTTTCGTTCTGCTTTACACCTACTGTTATGCTGCCTTGAAGTACTCCTGGGAAGTTCCTACTTGGGAAAAATGATAAATCCAAAAATGACTGATTTTGGATAAAAAATCCAAATCATGCTGTGATATGAAGTTATTTTGGACTGAATAAGATGAACGCATTTCATTTCTCTCTTTTTCACTTCCTGACAAACACAGGAAGCTTTTTAGCGGTTCTGCAACAAATGAATGGACAAAAGATGCACATTAGGTGTAATTGATACTTTGTGTGTTTTACGGGAATACCCACTCAAGGGAAAAGTACTCTTGTTGTGCAAGCCTGTCGCCTCATAAATCATCTAAATGAGTAATATTTTCGGGCAAGCTTAATCACTCTTCTTCATTAACAGTGCAACAGTAGGTGTACACTCTAAAAAATGCTGGGTTAAATACAACCCAGTGCTGGGTAAAATAGGGACAAACCCAGCAATTGGG